CTTATCACCGCCGGCTTGATTTCGTAACGGTTGGCAGTAATTCCCTGCACCTGAATGCTATCATACTCTGAAACGTTTGGTGTAAGGAATTCTGCAATGGTCTGGCGCTGATAGAGTGGGTTATTGTGCGGTACATATGGATTGGGTGGAGGTGCCTGATGTCTAGGCTGGGGGGCTGGTTGTGGCTGAGTAGGTGGGACTTGGGTTTGATTTTGAAACTGATTGGGGTATGAATTTTGGTACTGGGTCTGATTTTGGAATGTAGGTTGATTGATGGGAGGTGGGTTCTGTCTCCGTTGGAAAACGGGAATACTCTGCCTTGCTCCTTGCATCCCATAAACTTGATTTTGAAAATTGGTTTCAGGAGCAGTAGGGGTATTTTGAAACAAATGATATAATGGAGGGAGATTGAATTGTGGTGAAGGCTGATTTTGGGAAAAGATCAGAGTGCGGTAATTTTGAAAACCTGGAGGGTTTCTAGGTGAAATTGGTGGTGAAGATTGGGGTGACGTGTTCACATAGAAATCTTGCTGAGATCTGGGGTTAGGGTTACCCGACATCCCTGCGGTTCCAGATGAAGACTGGTGGTCCATGTTATTATTTTTCTTTTGAGCCTTGCGGTTTTGTCTGGCGAGCTTTTCAATCTCAAGGTTAAGAGGGATTAGCTGTTCTCCCCTCTTAGAACGTGTATGCATAAACAGAGCTGACCTGCAAGGTTAGCAGACAAAAATCCTACGAAAAACTAAAAACTAATCGCTGAGTAAAATTAACCCTTAAGACCGACACCGTCCCCGGCAACGGCACCAAAAACTGATGTGAGTTTTCTCGCACTTAAAAAGATTGTAATATAGCGGTGAAAGTACGAGTATCGTCTCCACAGGGACGGTAAAAGGGAATTAAGAATTAACTAAAATCAGCGATAAAGAATAAATAAAACAAATGCGGTCGTGCGAGAATTGATTGCTTTAGAAAACTAAAATTTCAAATAAATGACTAAAAGTAAATATTTGGGTTCTTCTTAATTAACGACGAAGGGAACAAGGATTGATTCCGGGGTAATCAGATTTCTGGCAGATCAGGCTTAATTACATGAATTTAATTTAATTGAGCCTACCTAATCAATACTAAGTTCTTACCGCTCTCGCGGCGTAGAATACAATAATTTAGGGGACCAGGCTGATCTCTCATGCGACAGGATCGTAAATTATTGCCAAGACGAACGAGCTTACGGCCCCTTAATCGCTACTAATCTCTTAGCGAATGATTAAGTGTGTGTGAATGTGTCCTAGAACAAATTAGATCTCTCTTAATTTATTCTATATGCAATTGTAATTCTAGTGGCCATTCTAGGTTACAAAAGATATCAATTAAATTATTCAAACAAAAATTAAACGGCAATCATGCAATTTACACCATCAAGAATCTAGCCATACATCATGATTAACCCCTTCATCAATCCCAAATCCCTGATTAAACTACTCACAATTCATAATTGAAGAATCAACAGAATTGGGAAGAATAGAATAAATTGTCATTAATTAAAAAGATGAACTTACAAATAATCCCAGAGTCTTGGAAGAAAATAGCGTAAAAACGGTGTTAAATTCTTCCCTAGGCCTCTCCGTAATGTTTGCCACCCTAAAAAGGGTTAGGGAGGCCTTATTTATACACAAGAGGGGAAAAATCACAATTCTGGTTGATGTGGGAAATTTCCGCGCGTAACTCGGGGCTACGCACGATCGTGCGTCCATGGCTACGCACGATCGTGCGTAGCAGGCAGTAGCTCCTCCACGGTTTTGGCTCTTACGCACGATCGTGCGTCCGTGTTATTCAGCCTTTTCTATAGTCCGAAGTTGACAAAACTTCCAAAGTTTTAGATAATGAAGTCCTCTATCCACCCCAACTTGCCGAATGTGATTTGAATCACCCAATCAAGAGATATGATCAAAACGGTGGAAGGTGTCATTCTGAAATCGCAGCAGAGATCATCTGACTTCGTCATCTGTTTTCACCTTCTTGCTCTCCTATTCTCGTAATGGTTTCTTCATATGATTTGTATCCCTTGAAGTTGTCTTTCATATACAACTTGAATCATGTCCATTAGTTGTTTCTACAAAGAGATATTCTTGAATGATTGACAGAAGGTCATCCTGATCGTCGTTTTCAAGCTTCATTCATCTTCTTTTGATCCCGAAGCCAATCCTAGAGCTCTTTTGTCATCAAATCTTCATCGTAAACCTCCCGCTGACCTCCATAGCTCTCAAATCAATCTCAAATGCTTTTCAACTCATCCCGATTTCTCCTCAATCGCCAGTGCCGAACTCTAAAATCCTGATTTTGACTCCAAATGACACAAAACTCGAACCAATGCCCGGTAAACATAACTTGAGCTAAAATTGAGACTTGTAACACCTTAAAGCTAGGGAAAACCATCAAACCCGATCCCAACACGCATCAAATACATATCTAAATACGGACTTATCAACCATCATATCATCCCCCCAAATCAAAGATGAAGTCATTAAGCCACAGATACTAACTGTTTTCTTAGCCGGAGAAGATATTTTTCCGGTGAGCTTTGCCTTCCGGTGGCCGAGGACGTAGGCAAATCTTCATCTCCATGTTAACCAACAGCACATCTGGTTCATATCCGTAGGTCTCAAACCCCACCTTTTCGCACCAAATCCCCATGCCAGACCCATTCACCTCCGTTACACACCCCCATCTCAAGCTAGTATCTGGCATTACTAACTGTCAGCGACGGTGACTCAGCACTTTCTGGCGAGATCTTAAACCATTGGACAACATCCAGTAAACCATGCTCCATTAGATCCAAGAACGAATTACAGTAACGAGAATCAAACTACCCAAGAGAAAGGGCAATAACAATTCAACCTAACAGCCTCACAAATACCACCGAAGTGGTGGAGGAGTTTTCCAAAAATGACCATAGCACCTAGCTAGGAGGGCCCCGGCGGGGCCGCCACCGTGAGTGGTGGTGCCGACCTGAAAAAGAACCGGTGGGGAAGAATCTGGCCGCGAATGGCTAGAGAGAGACACTCTCGACTTCCCAACCCCACTTAGCTCTTTGGGAGTGCCTGCTATAACATGTTTCATTATATCACTAGAGGCAAAAGAATAAATTAATGGAAAGTCCCTGAAATGGAATTAAATAAGTAAGGAATGAAATTGCCAAATCAGTAATATGCAATTCCAAAATTGCTGAGTTTGGAAAATTATGTCATGTTTAAAGTCTGATATTGCCAAATCGTGGCAATAATTACTTTTACTTTGAGAATAAAAGCATGCCAATTATATTTTGAAACTTATAAAAGTTTTTAATCATATTTCGTGCAATTCCTCATAAACTATTGGATTCTTCCTAGTGTGGTTATGTTCCTTACTGATTTCATAATATTGAGGGAGATAAGTAATTTATCAAAGCTATGTGTATTGAATTTTCGTTAACAACGTTTCTTCTCTAATATTTTATCCCTTTACTGTGTCCCAATTAGTCTTTCAAAGCTTTGAAATTCCATGTGTTATCGATATACATGCACTAGGGACAATTTGGTGATATTCGTCATTCCTCAAATATGACTAAAACAGTGAAAAAATGCACAAATAGAACCTTCATATTTTATAGGACTAAAAATGAACATACTTTACAAAATTACCCTTAATGAATTTGTAAATCTATTTACAATTAAAATGAAATGAAGACTTTCTAAAACCCTAATTTCCACAGCCGCATCGAGCATTCAAGGAGTCATTATCCCCACTTCAATTCCTCTGCCGCCACTTCAATCCTGCTGCCGCCACTTCAATCCTGCCGCTGCCACTTCCAGGAATGTTACGCCGGGCACCATCGCCACCATCACTTCCGGCTTAGCAATGCCGACCCATCGCCGTCGTCGCTTCGAGCACCACCGATGCCGATTTTGATGAAAAAATGTCATGTTGCTGCAACAAAAGGGACATTTTATTAAAAATGAACATAATATTGGCAATTCCTTTAATTAAATTTAGCAATTTATCGAAGAAAACAATATTTTTATGTCATATTTTATTTAAAAAGAACATAATATTCACAATTCCTTTAATTAAATTTGACAGTTTGTCAAACAAAACAATATTTTTTTGCCATAATATCAAATGCAAATCTGCCATAGAGTTGACACTATTTTCAACTCGATGTGAAAATACAAAATTTCTGCCAGAACATTTCACACGAAAATGCCAAATATTTGGCAAAGCAAGAACCCAATATCCAAAATCAGCAAAACCAAAGTTTAAACAGAAATCGGAAATTTATTAAAATCAGAAATCATAACTACGAAATCAATGCCCAGAAAAGAGATAAATCGATGACAAAACTCAAAACTTGAATGAAATAAAAAAGTTCTACCAAAACCAATAAAATCAGTGATAATTTGATTTTTAAACGAAAAACGGAGAGAAGAAGAAGAACAGAGAAGAAGAAGCAAACCTAGAAGAAGGGAAGTGGTGATGGAAGCATTGCAGGACGGCGAGAGTGAAAGAAGGGGGTCTTGATATGGAGAACCAATGTCTTGACAGTAGCATTGTCTAGGGTTTGATACTCCCTCCGTCCAATAAAAGTTAGCCAAATTTCCTTTTTTAGCCATCCCGAAAAAAGCTTGCCAATTCCATTTAAAGTAAGGAATATGTGTCTAAAGTTATTTCTCTCTCCTCTGCACAAATTTCAACCACACAATTTTTACTTTATTAATCTACGTGTAAGACAACTTTGGCCAAGTTTTTTGGGACGGATGGAATATTATATAAAAGGGCATTATGATTATCCGGAGTCTTGTGGAATTAAAAACATGTAGTCCTATTTAGGGAATTAAGTTTAATTTTAGTCGACAATTACTATTTTCGTTAATCCCTGATTCTAAGATGATCCCCTTTTTTACTGTCGATCTTATTTTCGTTCAGTTTAGCAAATTCACTGTACCGATCTTGTTATTTTGCTTCAGACTTCACTACACTCGAGTTCTATTGGGTTCAGCGCCATTGGAATTCCACGTCCAGATAGACACTGGCAGTGAAATTTCATGGGTCAGTTGTGCATCGTGCAATGGCTGTCCACTATCTAGCGGATTTCTGGTATAATTGCAGTCTTTTTTCCCTTTTCAATTTCCCAGAATTTAAGTTTGCTGTTATCATTAAATTAAAATTTGACTGACCTAAATTTCTTTTGCAGTTCCACCTTCAATTCTTCAACCCGCAAAGCTCCTCTACATCTTCATTTATCCCATGCTCGGATCATCGGTGTGCTTCCCACAACCATGAATGTTCAAGCAGTAATAATATATGCAAATACAACTTTTCATATGGTGATGGTGGGGAGACAGCAGGTTACCACATTGCTGACAAAATTCATTTGGATATGATTAATGGAAATAAATCTGCTTCAAGTGTGATTCCCATTGTATTTGGGTGAGCCTTTTATTGTTTTATGTTTAACCAATAAATTTCGATATTCCGATGTTACAAGCTTTTCAATTGGTAGTATTTTGTTTATGGCGTAAGTTGTGATATGACAGGTGTAGTACTTATCAGCTCGGATATTTGACACAAAGCAACCTGGCACTTGATGGGATCTTCGGGTTTAATCGAAATAAAATGTCCATTATCTCGCATCTCTCCTCCGAAGGTGTCGTCCCAAAAGTATTCTCCCACTGCCTAAAAGGTGGAGAGGGCAATTTTTTTTGTGCTTGGTGAGGCAGTCGGGTTGAATCTCATGTGGACTCCCCTCGCTCCACCCAAGTATGTATCTTGTTCCTTCAATTTCATAAGCTAGATGTTCCTTTGAGATTCAAACATGCACTCGTGGTTTACTCTCATGTGTACAAAATGTTCATTATCACCTTTATACTACGTATATAATTATATTTTTCCTTTATTAAGAGTGCTACCCAACCTCAAATGAGTGGCACACTATTAAGAGTATTACTCGACCTCTAATGAATGTTTACTTTTGTCTAAATGACATTTTATGCTAGCGCATGTCCTTTCCAGTAGAGCTAGATTATGAGAAATATGTGTACACCCACTACTACAAAAAATACTTTTTGAGTCGCATATAAAGTTATACACACTAGTGTAGAAAACACTTTCTATATGGGTTAAAAAACACAATTCTAAACTTCCTTTACGCATCGCTTTAGAAGCGATGCAATAGCCACTGATGCATAAAGTAACGTGTCTATTGCATCACTCTTTAAGTGATGCAATAACTAACTTTACACCTCGCTTATTTTAATGAGGCGACTTTAAAAGTACATTTTCACATTTACTATATGCATCACTTTTAAAGTGTAGGTGACTCATAAAGTATTTATCCCGGTGGTCAGGTAAGAGAGGAACAAAGTAACCTAACTAGCCGGAGATGTCACCAATTGCCTGAGCTCAAATCAGACGACATCAAACCCACCATCCATCTTTATCCCCTCCAGGTAGCAAGTCGTTCACCAAGTAGCAGCCCACCAACAAAACTTTCAACAAGAACCTAGAGTAACCCAAGAGGGCTTCTGGTCGTCAGAAGACCCTTAACCATTCCCAACTAGTCGAACGGCCTCCTAATCCCACCATCCGTCACTCCCAAATAAGGCAAATTTCGGCGAGGTAAAGCGGCCGACCTGGTATGTAACACTGCCTGCATGCGGTCAAAACCTTCAAGGCTAGACCCACTATCAAAACAGTCAAGTCCAAGCTTGTCCAACCCGTTCACCATCATATCATCCCCCCAAATCAAAGATGAAGTCATGAAGCCACAGATACTAACTGTTTTCTTAGTCGGAGAAGGTATTTTTCCGGTGAGCTTTGCCTTCCGGTGGCCTAGGACGTACGCAAATATTCATCTCCATGTTAACGAACATCACATCTGGTTCATATCCGTAGGTCTCAAACCCCACCTTTTCGCACCAAACCCCCATGCCAGACCCATTCACCTCCGTTACACACCCCCATCTCAAGCTAGTATCTGGCGTTACTAACTGTCAGCGACGGTGACTCAGCACTTTCTGGCGAGATCTTATAAACCATTGGACAACATCCAGTAAACCATGCTCCATTAGATCCAAGAATGAATTACAGTAACGAGAATCAAACTACCCAAGAGAAAGGGCAATAACAATTCAACCAACAGCCTCACAAATACCACCGAAGTGGTGGAGGAGTTTTCCAAAAATGACCATAGCACCTAAAAGACCCGCCGGAGCTATGAGGGCCCTAGCGGGGCCGCCACCGTGAGTGGTGGTGCCGACCTGAAGAAGAACGGGTGGGGAAGAATCTGGCCGTGAATGGCTAGACAGAGACACTCTCGACTTCCCAACCCCACTTAGCTCTTTGGGAGTGCCTGCTATAATATGTTTCATTATATCACTAGAGGCAAAAGAATAAATTAATGGAAAGTCCCTGAAATGGAATTAAATCTGTAAGGAATGAAATTACGAAATCAGTAATATGCAATTCCAAAATTGCTGAGTTTGGAAAACTATGTCATGTTTAAAGTCTGATATTGCCAAATCGTGGCAATAATTACTTTTACTTTGAGAATAAAAGTATGCCAATTATATTTTGAAACTTATAAAGTTTTTAATCATATTTAGTGCAATTCCTCATAAACTATTGAATTCTTCCTAGTGTGGTTATGTTCCCTACTGATTTCATAATATTGAGGGAGATAAGTAATTTATCAAAGCTATGTGTACTGAATTTTCGTTAACAACGTTTCTTCTCTAATATTTTATCCCTTTCATGTGTCCCAATTAGTCTTTCAAAGCTTTGAAATTCCATGTGTTATCGATATACATGCACTAGGGACAGTTTGGTGATATTCATCATTCCTCAAATAGGACTAAAACAGTGAAAAAATGCACAAATAGAACCTCCATATTTTATAGGACTAAAAATGAACATACTTTACAAAATTACCCTTAATGAATTTGTAAATCTATTTACAATTAAAAAGAAATGAAGAACTTTCTAAAACCCTAATTTCCACAGCCGCATTGAGCATTCAAGGAGTCATTATCCCCACTTCAATTCCGCCGCCGCCACTTCAATCCTGTCGCTGCCACTTCCGGGAATGTTACGCCGGGCAACATCGCCACCATCACTTCCGGCTTAGCCATGCCGACCCATCGCTCCCGTCGCTTCGAGCACCACCGATGCCGATTTTGATAAAAAAATGTCATGTTGCTGCAACAAAAGGGACATTTTATTAAAAATGAACATAATATTGGCAATTCCTTTAATTAAATTTAGCAATTTATCGAAGAAAACAATATTTTTCTGCCATCTTTTTATAAAAAAGAACATAATATTCGCAATTTCTTTAATTAAATTTGACAGTTTGTCAAACAAAACAATATTTTTTTGCCATAATATCATATGCAAATCTGCCATACAGTTGACACTATTTTCAAATCGATGTGAAAATACAAAATTTCTGCCAAAACATTTCACATGAAAATGCCAAATATTTGGCAAAGCAAGAACCCAATATCCAAAATCGGCAAAACCAAAGTTTTTACAGAAATCGGAAATTTATTAAAATCGGAAATCATAACTACGAAATCAATGCCCAGAAAAGAGATAAATCGATGACAAAACTCAAAACTTGAATGAAATAAAAAAGTTCTACCAAAACCAATAACATCAGTGATAATTTGATTTTTAAATGAAAAACAGACAGAAGAAGAAGAATAGAGAAGAAGAAGCAAACCTAGAAGAAGGGAAGTGGTGATGGTAGCATTGCAGGACGGCGAGAGTGAAAGAAGGGGGTCTTGATATGGAGAACCAATGTCTTGACAGTAGCATTGTCTAGGGTTTGATACTCCCTCCGTCCCATAAAAGTTAGCCCAATTTCCTTTTTTAGCCGTCCCGAAAAAAGCTTGTCAATTCCATTTAAAGTAAGGAATATGTGTCTAAAGTTATTTCTCTCTCCTCTGCACAAATTTCAACCACACAGTTTTTACTTTATTAATCTACGTGTAAGACGGAGGGAATATGTGTCTAAACTTTGGCCATGTTTTTTTAGACGGAGGGAATATTATATAAAACGGCATTATGATAATCCGGAGTCTTGCGGAATTAAAAACATGTAGTCCTATTTAGAGAATTAAGTTTAATTTTAGTCGACAATTACCATTTTCGTTAATCCGTGATTCTAAGATGATCCCCTTGTTTTATTGTTGATCTTATTTTCGTTCAGTTTAGCAAATTCACTGTACCGATCTTGTTATTTTGCTTCAGACTTCACTACACTCGAGTTCTATTGGGTTCACCGCCATTGGAATTCCACGTCCAGATAGACACTCGCAGTGAAATTTCATGGGTCAGTTGTGCATCGTGCAATGGCGGTCCACTATCTAGCGGATTTCTGGTATAATTGCAGTCTTTTTTCCCTTTTCAAGTTCCCAGAATTTAAGTTTGCTCTTAACACTAAATTAAAATTTGACTGACCTAAATTTCTTTTGCAGTTCCACCTTCAATTCTTCAACCCGCAAGGCTCCTCTACATCTTCGTTTATCCCATGCTCGGATCATCGATGTGCTTCCCACAACCCTGAATGTTCAAGCAGTAATAATCTATGCAAATACGACATTACATATGGAGATGGTGGGGAGACAGGAGGTTACTACATTGCGGACAACATTCATTTGGATATGATTAATGGTAATAAATCTGCTTCAAGTGTGATCCCCATTGTATTCGGGTGAGCCTTTTATTGTTTTATGTTTAACCAATAAATTTCGATATTTGGATGTTACGAGCTTTTCAATTGGTAGTGTTTTGTTTACGGCGTAAGTTGTGATATCACAAGTGTAGTACTTATCAGCTCGGATATTTCGCACAACGCAACTTGGCACTTGATGGGATCTTTGGGTTTAATCGAAATAAAACTTCCATTATCTCGCAGCTTTTCTCCGAAGGTGTCATCCCAAAAGTATTCTCCCACTGCCTAAAAGATGGAGAGGGCAGTTTTTTTGTGCTTGGTGAGGCAATCAGGTTGAATCTCATGTGGACTCCCCTCGCTCCACACAAGTATGTATCTTGTTCCTTCAATTTCATAAGCTAGATGTTCCTTTGAGATTCAAACATGCACTCATGGTTTACTCTCATGTGTACAAAATGTTCATTATCACCTTTATACTACGTATATAATTATATTTTTCCTTTATTAAGAGTGCTACCCAACCTCAAATGAGTGGCACACTATTAAGAGTATTACTCGACCTCTAATGAATGTTTACTTTTGTCTAAATGACATTTTATGCTAGCGCATGTCCTTTCCAGTAGAGCTAGATTATGAGAAATATGTGTACACCCACTACTACAAAAAATACTTTTTGAGTCGCATATAAAGTTATAAACTTCCTTTACGCATCGCTTTAGAAGCGATGCAAAAGCCACTGATGCATAAAGTAACGTGTCTATTGCATCACTCTTTAAGTGATGCAATAACTAACTTTACACCTCGCTTATTTTAATTCGGCGACTTTAAAAGTACATTTTCACATTTACTATATGCATCGCTTTTAAAGTGTAGGTGACTCATAAAGTATTTATCTCGGCGGTCAGGTAAGAGAGGAACAGAGTAACCTAACCAGCCGGAAATGTCACCAATTGCCTCAGCTCAAATCCGACGACATCAAACCCACCATCCATCTTTATCCCCTTCAGGTAGCAACTCGTTCACCAAGTAGCAGCCCACCAACAAAACTGCTTCCAAAGTTACTTACCGTTGTTAGTGGCGGGGACTCTGTTTTCCGGCGCAAGTGAGCAGAGGAAACAAGACTTTCAACAAGAACTTAGAGTACCCCAAGAGGGCTTCTGGTCATCAGAAGACCCTTAACCATTCCCAACTAGTCGAACGGCCTCCCAATCCCACCATCCGTCACTCCCAAATAAGGCAAATTTCGGTGAGGTAAAGCGGCCGACCTGGTATGTAACACTGCCTGCATGCGGTCAAAACCTTCAAGGCTAGACCCACTATCAAAACAGCCAGGTCCAAACTTGTCCAACCCATTCACCATTGATGTGAATTTTCTCGCACTTAAAAAGATTGTAATATAGCGGTGAAAGTACGAGTATCGTCTAAACAGGGACGGTAAAAGGGAATTAAGAATTAACTAAAATCAGCGATAAAGAATAAATAAAACAAATGCGGTCGTGCGAGAATTGGTTGCATTAGAAAACTAAAATTTCAAATAAATGACTAAAAGTAAATATTTGGGTTCTTCTTAATTAACGACGAAGGGAACAGGGATTGATTCCGGGGTAATCAGATTTCTGGCAGATCAGGCTTAATTACATGAATTAAATTTAATTGAGCCTAGCTAATCAATACTAAGTTCTTACCGCTCAAGCGGCGTAGAATACAATAATTTAGGGGACCAGGCTGATCTCTCATGCGACAGGATCGTAAATTATTGCCAAGACGAACGAGCTTACGGCCCCTTAATCGCTACTAATCTCTTAGCGAACGATTAAGTGTGTGTGAATGTGTCCTAGAACAAATTAGATCTCTCTTAATTTATTCTATATGCAATTGTAATTCTAGTGGCCATTCTAGGTTACAAAAGATATCAATTAAATTATTCAAACAAAAATTAAACGGCATTCATGCAATTTACACCATCAAGAATCTAGCCATACATCATGATTAACCCCTTCATCAATCCCAAATCCCTGATTAAATTACTCACAATTCATAATTGAAGAATCAACAGAATTGGGAAGAATAGAATAAATTGTCATTAATTAAAAAGATGAACTTACAAATAATCCCAGGGTCTTGGAAGAAAATAGCGTAAAACGGTGTTAAATTCATCCCTAGGCCTCTCCGTAATGTTTGCCACCCTAAAAAGGGTTAGGGAGGCCTTATTTATAGAAAAGAGGGGAAAAATCACAATTCTGGTCGATGTGGGAAATTTCCGCGCGTAACTCGGTGCTACGCACGATCGTGCGTCCATGGCTACGCACGATCGTGCGTAGCAGGCAGTAGCTCCTCCACGGTTTTGGCTCTTACGCACGATCGTGCGCCCGTGTTCTTCAGCCTTTTCTATAGTCCGAAGTTGACAAAACTTCCAAAGTTTTTGATAATGAAGTCCTCTATCCACCCCAACTTGCCGAATGTGATTTGAATCACCCAATCAAGAGATATGATCAAAACGGTGGAAGGTGTCATTCTGAAATCGCAGCAGAGATCATCTGACTTCGTCATCTGTTTTCACTTTCTTGCTCTCCTATTCTCGTAATGGTTTTTTCATATGATTTGTAGCCTTTGAGGTTGTCTTTCATATACAACTCGAATCATGTCCATTAGTTGTTTCTACAAAGAGATATTCTTGAATGATTGACATAAGGTCATCTTGATCGTCGTTTTCAAGCTTCATTCATCTTCTTTTGATCCCGAAGCCAATCCTAGAGCTCTTTTGTCATCAAATCTTCATCGTAAACCTCCCGCTGACCTCCATAACTCTCAAATCAATCTCAAATGCTTTTCAACTCATCCCGATTTCTCCTCAAGCGCCAGTTCCGAACTCTAAAATCCTGATTTTAATTCCAAATGACACAAAACTCGAACCAATGCCCGGTAAACATAACTTGAGCTGAAATTGAGACTTGTAACACCTTAAAGCTAGGGAAAACCATCAAACCCGATCCCAACACGCATCAAATACATGTCTAAATACGGACTTATCAGATTCCCCCACACTTAAGTTTTTGCTTGTCCTCAAGCAAACTGAACAATGGGGTTTACGATAATCACCACACGGAATCAAAACAATTAGCATGCACATGTAGTTAAAGGGGTATTCACAGAACAGACAAATTAAACCAAGAAAATTCTTCCCTAAACTACATCTTTGTACTCTAGCTAAAATATTTGACAAAGTTATTCACAACATCCTCAAAGTAATGACAGCATACACAAATAAACTAGTTATTGATTAGAAGGACTTGTGAAGGTAATGGTGAATGGTGATAAGGAGTCCCTTTTTTTTTAGAATATTAAAGTGATTTTATTTTATACGTAGTATATGTCTTTGTATATAGTACGTACTTTATGTGATCGTGTCATAGTCGAACATACAATAAAATGAAAGTATTTGGTTCAATCCAATTAAATCAATCATAACAACAACATCTAGGAGGTTTATAGTCACGGGAAATGCATATTCCTTTACTTGTACCCTTCAACTTCTGACAACTCACAATGCACTCCGGGTTCCCGCTGCATGGGGGATGCGCCACGGGAAGACAATTCCACGGATCATTAAGATAGTATAATGCATTTCTTTGGGCATTCACAACTGAGCCAGATGCCAGAATCATCACTATAATGAAGCAGAGGGTAACCATACAAGCACATGCTTTACCCCCCAAACGTAGATTAAACCCGGTCATGCTTCTTACTTTGCTGGATTTAACGTCTCAAATAAGCGGTTCCTTTCTTTTGAGAGATTGGAATATTCTAACAAAGACTCAATGCATTCAGAAACTTCAGGGCTATTCTTAGGATCAAGGAACTCAGTAGGCCACAATTTAGGAAGAATCATCTAAACCTATGCAGTGGCGGACCCAGAAACTCAGAATCACGGGGTCCCTAGTGTAATGTAACTCTAATTAATAAAAAATTAATAAAAAGAAGAAGTAAAATATTAAAATAGCACAACGTTTCATAGTTAACGTATACAACAATTTTAAAGATATTCCAATATTTTAAAGAAATGTCCACTATCAACTAGAGTCCGTTTGGTAACACTGAAATTGGCTGAATCGGTTGATTCTACCGAAATTTATGAAGTTCTGACTGAAGTGGCTGTATTAACTGTTTCTGGTGATTATGAAAAATTATATTTAAAATATATTATATTAATAAAATAAAGAAGAAATGATATGAAAAATAGATAAAATGATCATCTACAACAATTTCAGTTAATACAGTCTGAAAAGTAACTTCAACCTTAATTTTCTTATTATTACACAATTCAGCGCGCAAAATCAAAAGTTACATGTTTGGTTAAAAAGTTGGTTGATAAGCCTGATAAGTCGAAAAACAGAGTCACTAAATGGGCACTAAAATTTTATAAAGTTAATGTCCTCTATCAACTAAAAATAATCGGCATGCATATGAGAAATCAAATTTAAAAAGCCTACATTTGAAAATTTCGATCCAATTACTTTGCATTATTTTATTTGGATTTTTATTTAAAATATATTCATTAGCTTTGTTTCTAATTTAATTTAATACAATTACCAATTTATTTGTGTAACTTTAAGGACTTCTTTATTGGACTAATTTTAGTCTTAGATCAAATCACATCAAGCCAAATTATGTGATTATGGCTCAAGCGACCGAATCTGCTATATTAGGAAAGAATGATATTTAAATTATATGTTATCAGATATGAAAAAGTCATATGAAAAAATGACTAAGATGATGCTCTACGGTAACTTCAGTAATCTCGCCGAAAAAATGTTTTTAACTTGCTTATTTTAATTATTACAAATTCAGTGCGTGAATTCAAGAATTACGCCAAATAATGCGATTATGGCTCAAGCGACTGAATCTGCTATAGTAGGAAAGAATGATATTTAAATTATATGTTATAAGATATGAAAAGGTCATATGAAAAAGTGGTTAAGATGATGCTCTACGGTAACTTCAATCATCTGGTCGAAAAAATGCTTTTAACTTGCTTATTTTAATTATTACAAATTCAGTGCGTGAATTCAAGAATTACGTGTTTCATAACGAAATTAGTTTATAAAACAGATAAGCTGAAATTTGGAGATACATACTGGCTTTACAGTAGTATTTCTTATGAAAAAATTGGGCATAGGTTGAGAAAATTAGATGCTTTGCAGTAGTATTTCTTAGGGAAAAAATGGGCATAGGTTGAGAAAATTAGATTAAAAGTTGGACAATAGAGGTGCATGATAACAATAGGTGGTTGGTTGTTCCATAATTTTATTTTCAAAAAAATAGACACCTCATATCTGAAATTATATGTTATAAGATATGAAAAAGTCAT